TAGAAATAAACTTTGCGAGAATGTAGTAACCTCATAAGGCCCCCATCATCTTCACAGTCACATATGTCAGTGGAAGTTGCATGTATACTAATAGGTGCATTAGGTCCCATCAGCTGCCGTCTTGATAACAGACTCTAATCTATGAAGAATCAAAAAGAATGGGGTCCTCCATCACTTATAGAGGATCAGAAGTGCCACATAAGCAGCTGATACTGAGCTCTTAACGCACCATTTACATTACACCAGCAGTATAAAGCTTTTTGAGGTACCAGAATTACAGTGTAAGGTGTATCCATTTACAGATGGCTCTTTTTTGTGTCTTGGCCACTTTTCTGTGTTTAATCACATTAAAAAGGAAAAGCAAACACCTTCTATTACGATGGCTTCATACAAGTCTATTCTGATGACAAAAATGATCAAACCGTGTAATTTGCAGCTTGTCTTAATTATATACAAAAAACTCTGCTAAATGAATACAGATTTAGTATTACACCTTCCCCACCATCTACTTTTCCCAAGTACATTTCTGTCTCCCTTTCCCTTCCCCCTCCCTTGTTTTTTAACTATCAGAACCAGAACACTCAGTGCTTCACTGTATATCAAATTGGATTGATTCAAGTTTTGCTACTGTCTTTATCTAGCCTGAATTTTTTTATCTGTGGACTATGAATGCCTACTTAGCTTTAGACACGGAATTAAATAATTTCATTCAAAAAGTGACTATCATCCAGTAGGTTTCAGTCATTCCTGGCTTGCACTGAATTTAAAACTGTGCACTAGAAGATAAAAACATCCATGTCTTTCCTAAATAAACAATACCTTTTCATTCTAATTTAAACAAATTCAATTATTGTTTATGCTTTGATATTCTAAAAAACGTTCCTGTGCTACCAATGCCTGTAGCACATTTGTACCTTGCCATTATTTTCATTCACTCTTGGTTTTTATTTCTTAAAAGAAAAACCATTCTTAGGTAAATTCCATAGTATTACAAAGCAATGCAAATCTACTCAGATAGGGCAAAGCATTATTTATATATGAGGGACAGTTTATCATTCTGTCACTCTGGATACTGAACAGTTCCCAGTTTTGCAGCAATTTCTGTGACTGTCTTTTTGTTCAGACAGAGTTACAAATGTGTGTCAAGATTAGTCAGTATTGCTTTAATTACAAAAAGAATTATCTGTAGTAAAATACATGTGTGTTTATTAAACTGTAGGTGCACAATAAAGTCTTACTAAAGCCACCAGGATGCAAGGATCTGCTCAAATTACTTTCCTGAAACAGGCCCTGAAAAACCATATCTCAGCGGTGTCTGATAACTGATGTGATAGAAAATGTCTTCATATACCTCCAAACGTGTCTGTTTACCAAAAATTCTCACTCTCTGTTAAGGACTTCAAAAATTCTGCATAAAATTTTCTGTATAGAATTATATAAATAAAATACTCTCTATTTAAATTTTAATGTGTTAGGGTCTTTCCATTAATAAAGATATATTACTGCAATATTTTTGTAGAATGATCAGAAATAATTGATTTTATAAACATTTAACAGATGAAAATACCCTGCTTTTCATGCACATGCTCTTTTTTTCCCTATTAAGAAAGGGATTTTAGGATTAGCTTCAGTTAATGTTTGAATCACTAAATGCTAGAGAGACTGTTATTTCTGTATTTTTAACAAACAAAATTATTTATAAAAACTATTTGAAACAGAAGGAGAAATTGATCTATTATAGAAAATTAAAAACATACACTGTCAACAAATTAATCAACTGGGGAATTAGATGAGCATAAATAAGCAGCCCTAACAGACCTTTGCCCAGTACTCAGGCTCACAATGAGATCCTAAATAAAATAAGTCAAGGTGTCAGCTCAATATATTTTACTCTTGGTTTCAACTGCAATTTTTCTCATATAGGGTATGCCATGTATTCTGCTTGAACAAAGAATAAAGTCTTGATCACTACACAGCAGCATCTCCCTTCAAATCAAATTCTCTTTTGAACACCTATATAATACTTTTGTTCAGATTTCTTGTGTAACGGAAATGTTTTTAAAGAACTACATAACTTACCTGCTATCACACTCTTCCCACTGCTTTAATTGTTCTTTTAGTGCTCTGTAGTTGGCCTGCAACATCTGCAGCCTCTCTCTGCGTTTTTCATGGGCTGCTCTTAGCTCATCAGTTTCTTGAGTCTGTATAGCAACAAAAAAAACCCAAAATTACAGTTGGGCAAAATGTAAGAGACTGTCACACAGAAACGAAAGTTCTGCTTAAGTAACTAGTAAACAGAAATCTAAACAAAAAGATCAGGAGTAATAATACTGGAGGTCAAATTTTTCTTATTGTTAGTGTGGGAAATTTTTGCTTATTTGGCAAAATCTACTTTTTTTCATGATGTTGAGAAATTTTTAAAAATTTACTACTAAAATACCAGTTTTCAAATTATGAATGCATTGCCCCAACACACTGAAAAAGGATTTTTTTCTTTTTCTTCTTCATGGAAAACTAATCTACATATTTTATGGAAAACACTGGCCACAACCGAAGTTGACATCAAAACCCCCTAAATTAAATAGCTTCAGGATTTCCTCATACATGGATTTATTTCTGTAAATATATACAAATCTTCAGCACCCAGACTTTGTCCTTTTGTTTTTACAGGAAAAAAAGTAAGATATACCTTGATTTATATTACAAGATAACATAATGCAAGTTTAAAAGAAGATTTTCCTAAGTGACCATACTGTGCTCTGAACAAAACTAAGAACAGGACATCCCGCAGAAAGTTAGATGCTGACATACAGAAGTAAAGAATTCACCAAACATCATCCTGCAGTAAAATTTGTCCTCAGTGCTTCATTTCTGGTTCAATGGGAGCTCTGCTTGCAGAGCAGAACTCAGAACATGTTCCTTAATTTCTAAGTAAATCACAATACTTTATTTGCATGTATTTACTGGTTATATGCAAGGAGGGCATTTCCACATTAGTCAATAAATAAGATACATCAATATTCAGAGCTGCAAGTAATAAAACTTAAATCCCACTGTAAAAACATGGCAAGGGTTTCTACAGTAGTGGTGACTAAAAAGTACCTAGACTAAGCTTGGCTTCTAAACTATAGCCTAGCTTTCATGACGTAGAAGCAAAGCTGAAAGATACCAGTTAAAATTTCAGATGCTACTACATATAACATTCCAGATGGTTTCTGGAAGTGAATCAGGCAACAGAAAAAGCAGATTTAGGAATAGAAGCAGGTACCAAAGTGACTTTACTATTAAATACTTTCCCATAGCGGTGGTGCTACTTTCCCCCCACCCCCTCTTGAAACGAACTCTAACCCAGATATATTTATTAAATTGGAATTGCTTAAAAAGTACTTCTGTCTGCTTTTAAGTGGCCATATAAATACTACATTGATATTAATAACAATCACACAAACAGCAAGATAAATTTATGACAAAGGACAGAGTGACCATTACCAAGTGACTCATTTGTTTGAGGCTACAACAGGAAATTCTTCTAAGAATCCAATTACAGACGTTGTGTTTTCAGGAGAAGTTAACGAAATTATTGTTCTGAGATTGTTCGATCTTGCAAGCGAAAACTGATCAAGTCTGGTGAGGTACTGGAAAATAATGTCTTCAGCATAAAACCTCAGTAGTTTATTAGTGTCAATGCCCCTTCAGAAATATAACCAAATGCAGAATTTGGCCTTTCCTGTTTATGAATCCACGTTTCATTATTGCTCACCTGTTTCATTACCCATTCTGTTACAGTCATTCTCTTCCCTTATCAGTTGCTATTTCTTGCAAAAATAGAAATTAGGCAATTAACTGCCCTAATGACTCTCTTTATTGAATTAAGAATTTCAGAACTTTAACTTTGCACTGTAATTTCCATAATCTGTTAATTCCATCTCTCTCTAATTGAATTACATTATATTTTTTAATAATTAATCTCTCTTGTATACAGTTTTCTGTATAGTGACAAAAATGAAACAAACCAACCATCTTTAGGAACGCTGGATCTCCGGGCTATTCCCCAGCTCTCCACTGCCATTTTTAGTACTTTCCATGCAGTATGAAAGACAAAAAGATAAAGTCTAATTGCAGAAGGAAGAAGCCAACTGCCGGTGAAAAGAAGTCATTTTGGTTTTTGCAGGTAGTTCAGACAAGCCAGAAGATTCTAATCACTATTTCAACATTTTGTTGAAATTGACCTGTAACAAATTGAACTAAAAAGGAGTTAAAGAATATACTGATTCAGTTCTTTGATTACTCTGTTTAGGCTGACAAGAAGTCAGGAATCTTACCATTACAAAAAAAAAAAAAAAAAAAAAAATAACACAAACCCAAAAAAACAATCCACAAGTAGTTACGTGGAAAAGACACAGTATTAATATATTTTCAGGATCTGAACACCATACATAGAATAGTACTATATATATAATATCTAAACTAAATATAACACCGTGTCATTGCTGACATGAACAAGAATTAAGGCTGCCCTAAAGACTGATATATTCTAGTTCTAATTCACTCCAGTATCTTAGGACTTCAAACAAAAAGGAGAAAACTTAAAGGGAAGATGTCCTATAGCTTTTGAAACCTTTCCAGTTACAGCCAGGCTGTAACACAGATCACAGTTCTAGAAACATAATATAGGAGAAGATATTTTGTATTAAATATCTAACTCTTGGCAACCAGACTTCTACTCGCTTCCTGAAGACCAACAGTAGATTGATGTACTATGCTTTGGACCATTCTAAGAACCAGTTTGATAATTTGTTATTCGAAATCCATGAAACACTCTCATTTATTTTGACATTCTCCTCCCTAAACAAGGGTGCAATCAGGCATGCTCTGTTCCTCTGTAGTATGTCCTGGAGTGCAGAAATGAAGCTGATTCTTTACCAAAACTATGGACACACTGAACTGATATGACTATATTAGCAAAAAGACAGGAAGAGCCAACTGTCCTTGGCCAGAAATGAGTCAGCTGAGGAGAACTCAGCACCTTGCCCTTTTCTGTTCCTTAGTAATACTGACTGGGGCATCAAATATTTATGTTCCTGAAAACCCCATAAATAACACTATTGGTTCGGGTTTGGGTTGTTTTTTTTTTTTTTTTTAATTACCTATTTTTCAGAGGACTGATAGACAAAGTCACAATTTCATCTTCAGGATATGCATGATCAGTATGCTTATTGATAGAACAAGCATTTTTATGAGCAAGTTTCAAGTAATCCTACAGTTAACACTCTGCTTGAGGAGGCAATACAATAACGCAAGTACCACTTTTGAAAGTGTTGATGCATACATTATTCTTTGTTGGAAGCACTGCCTGAGAGGAGGTTAATATAAAAAAAATCATACAATGCCAATAGTATTATTCTGATGTTAGTATTATGACAGATGAGTTCACTGTCATGCTGGCAATAGCCTTACTGAATCCTGAATGTAGTGCCACAACAGTATTTACTATGTTGCCCAGGCTTCTACAGCTTCTTTCCAATCAATTAAGGCGTTCTGCAAAAGAAACCAAGTAGGTTTCCTAAAGAAAATAAATGCAAGGAGTTCATATATTCAGTTTCAAGGGGCAATAGAAGACAGCCCTGAAAGACCTCACAGAGGTCTCTGTAACAGATATCCCACACCTGCAACATAACAAAGCTGCACAGATTCCTAAATTACCCTTTATGAAGAAAAAGAAGAAATTACAATGGCAGTATGGTGAGCAGTAAAAATTATGTTATGAGGTCATGCAGAGAGAATAATATATTATTATATTTTTTTTTATCTGCTTAGAAAATCGGTGTGCTACTCCCCTCTTTTCAGAAGAAAACACAGGGAAATGTGTAATTCTCTATCATTTAAGACAACAACCATACAACACTGATGTGTGACCTTTGCTGCCAAGGGCAGAACAGCTGTAGTCCAAAGCACCAGAATAACCTCTAGCATCAGCGTCTGGCAGGCCAAGTAAGAGTAACAAACAGGAGGCCTAACAAAGACCAGTTCTCAGGTACAGCTGGTAGGACATGCCTTACATTTCTCAACAGAAAGAAAAAACAAAAGTAACTTTTTGACTCCCAGGAACAAGGAGCAAGATGGACTGTTAAGACTGAATTTGAAGTTTCCTGTTCATACACTCTATGTGTGTTAAGACACCACCTCAAACTCTCTCAAGTACACAGGGGAGGAACTTTTGCATTTGTGCTGAAATACAATTCCCACTCACATTTTTTCTAAAACTGACTTATCACGTGAGTGTCCTTTTGCATGAGGCAGGAGCTCAGCACTAGTTTGTAGAGTCCCCAAGTTTTTTCACTTACCTAACATTTATCACTGCATGTTCAATATAGCCAGTTCTGCTATAGGCTACATATACTGAAAATACCTTTTAAATTCTGTAACTCTGAATAAACATGTGAAAGGCAGGGCAGGGCAGGGTAAGGGAGGGAAGGAGAAGGGAAGGAAAGGGGAAAGAAATGAGAAAGAAGGAGAGGGAAGGGAGGGGAGGAGACAAAGAGGAAGGGAGAGAAAGGGATAAGAAAGGAAGGGTACAGAGAGAGGAGGGAGGGGGAAGGGAGGAATTGTAAATATTTAAGACACTATGACTCAGGGTTTGAGTTTTGCATTCTGAGGTGCAATTTGAACAGATTATGCAAAAGGTACTATTTTTGACGTAAAAAACCAAACCAACAAAAATCTATAAAATGGGCACCAAAATGGGAAATTGTAATACATGCTCAATTAAGTTTTTCTACCAATGGTGAGGGTGGAGGGGTTGTTTGCGGGTGGTTTTTTTTTTACAGCATTTGTTAGAACAACGACTTCTGAGCCATGATTTCTAGGAGTACAAGGGGTACATCTGTGTCAACTAATTGGCTTCAGCATTTTAAGATACTGGCTGGTTTCACTGTACAAAAGAAAACCAAAAAATATTTGTAATTTCTGCTTCACTTTATTTCTATATGAATATATGAATTTCTCAAAGTATATATTCTCAGACACAAATTTTAAAATGTATTTAACAAGTATGTATTATTGATGACAGCTCAAATTAGACTTTCACAGGACTGCAGGAGTACCAACACAAAATTCCTAGCAGCAAAGGAAAAAGACAAAACTAATGAAGAGTGCTCTCTGATGCTAATACACTTACAGTCCATAATGATATGTGCATTTTGCATTTTTAAAATGTCTGTTTATTTTGGTATATCTTTATCTACGCAAGCTTATAGCTAGAGGGGTTTTTCTATTTTTATTTTTTAATGTTCACCTTTAGCTGTAGTGTCTTCTCTAAGTTTTCAATCTTCCTTTCAGCTATTTTAAGCTTCCTTCGCTCCTCTGACTCTCTAAAAGAGCTCTTTGGGGACAGAGACCCTGAACATTTCACAGGTGGTTCCTGGAGAATAAAACAAGGACATGGTTGAACTAGTTGGAACACCGGATTATGAAAGACATGCAGAATTAAAGAAGAAGTAATTTTGAATACTAATAATGAATTATAAAAAAAAAAAAAATCTGCATGGAATACCAGAGAAATAACAAGCAGAATTACCACAGCGCTACCACTAAAGGTTTCTCTGTGACTCGTTAATGAGAATATTCATTTACATTTACATTGTTTCTTTCAGAATAATGATGTCCCATTAGGGAAGACTAAAGGGTTATAGACTCAGAAATGCAAGAAACCTCATTACAAAGGAGGGGATAGAGGCTGGTCTAATTGCTCTATAAGGGTCCAAGGTTACACTTGATAGGACAACCAGAAACAAGAGGGAAAGGATTTTTTTCCCTTTGAAATAGTTTAACACACTGTGAAGTTGAAGGAACAATATGCTTGAGGAATATAAATACAACAGACAGTAGATCTTATACCATAATGACCATATGGTCATTAACTATAATGTGACTAACTAGAGACAAGAATATGTGTTTATATTATGTACAGCTTCATATAGCAATCTGGAAAAAGAATATGAGAAAGTAACACTTAAACTGGGCAGCTTTCTGTTCATTCTATGTCATATGTCCTTATGGCAAAGAAAGACTTCATCAAATTAGACTTTCTGATTTTCTGAATAACTTTGGTTAAGGACAGAGAAATATTAACACACACTTAATACCAACAGGGTAAAATGCTATTATGTAAATACATAAAATCAAACAAAAACTTAAGATCAATTGTGATTATTGTTGTTGCATGCTGCCCTTTTCACTGTAAATGATTTATACCAAAAGGAATTCAGGATAAAGTCTTCTTGAATAACATATATATTTCAACACTTTCACGATTCCACTCAATTAATTTCATCTTAAAGAAAATCTTGATTAGGAAGTGGAATTTTTTTCTTTGACCATTACCTTTCAGTATTAAATGTTTACAAGACACTGTATACCACATTTTCACTTCAAATGGTATCGGTTTCCACAAAGAAGAAATAGAACAAAATCATGAAATACCAGAAAATAATACCATCACATATTTAAGAATTTAAATATTGTCAAGGTGCTCTTGCTTCTGAAATGTGCCTGAATGAGATTTAAAAAATAAAAAACAAAACCCAAACAAAATCAAAAAAAGACAACACGAGCTTTTCCTCATCCCTCTCTCCTTCCCCCCCACCAAAAAACCAAAACAAACCAAGAATCTGGAAAGAATTTTAGGCCATTTAAAATCTGAACACCAAATGGACATATTTTGTATCCTGTCAGTCCCTTTATATAACAAAAGAAACTAGACGAAAGTTTTAATCAACACTTAAAACAGTATTCCCTAAGTTACGGTTTTATATTGTCTGTAACATTGTACTAAAAGTAGATCTCTATGAAATATTATTTCTTTACATTTTTTCTAATAATTCTCATAGATATACCCAAAGGTTTACAACAGTTAATAGGCACTGATAATGATAAAAACAAATTGATTTCTTTCAGGTCTGAAGCAGAACATCCGAAGACCAACATATCAAAATACATACTCATTTTCAAAGCCCCAGATTTCTTGAATAAAATCAAGATCTTACATAAAATTCCCATCTTCTACATTTCATAATCACTGCATACCCAGACTAATTTTTCCTAAAAATCCAGAATGCATTATTTTTCAATAAATGTTTCCTAGTTGTACTTCATGTTCGAATACAGAAGACTTGGAAAACACATTATTTCTCCAAAATCAGGAATAAAAGGTCAAAGCACTCCCTTTGTTGCCAAAGAGAAGGACAACAAAGGAAAAGAAGTGGACCAACCGGCACTAGACTGTTAAGAATGTAGAGACTCTACAGCAGAATGAAGAAAAGAGAAAAAAAAAAAATGCAGAAAAATGTAAAATTCATAGTCTTGCTGCTTTAATCGAACGTGATCAGATACAATGAGTACACAACAGTTTTTCTTTGAGAGTGTGTGTGAGTGCGTGTATACAAACACAGACCTTATATATAGCTACCTGGGATTGCACTGTGAATCTTTCTCACAAAGACAGGGAAAAAAAATAGAGAAACATTCTAACTATTCATTGACATGGAAATAATTCCCTGTGAGAACAGGTGGGATTGGTGATGTGCATTAAGAAACATTCCATTGTTTGAATGTGTGTTTCTGTTTAGTGAAAAGACTAGAGGCCTGTGGAGAGAAGGAGCTGTGTCTGGGCTTTACAGCTGCAGATAGGTAGTTCAAAGCCAATCTTTGCTAAGAAGGCAAACAGTTTAATTTTCCTACTAAGACGGAAGAGGCTGCATAGTAAAATACATTGTAATTTGATTGCCTGGGGCTGCTGCAAAACTCAATTTGGAGGATGGTATCCATAATACCCTTCTCACAACTGCAAAGTTTGCTGCTGCGAGGTTAAAGCATTTAATTTCTAATTCAGTCCTCAAATTCCACAGTAAATTTATACATACCTGTATTAAACATATACACAGATTTTAATATTTGGAGTCCAATTTTATGAGCAAAGAATGTTAATCCAAGTCAGTAAGAGGTAACAATAGAAGATTTTTCATCAAATGATCCTGAAGAATACTTACAAAACACTAAGACAAATTCCAGAAAACTAGAAATAAACAGCCTTTGTAATATTAAAAGATATGAAACTCTGAGATGGAACATTTAATGTAAAGAAGTAGCTAGTAAGTGGATGGGACATACATTAACTGTTAACAGAGTTACAAGAAGCAGAAAAAGAAAAGATGTTTCTGTCTAAATAACCTTCTTTTACCTATTTGCATCCATGAAAGACACCAACTGGAAATAGTTGTGTTCTTGCATTTCAACAGGTTTGTGTTGGATGGAGTCCCAAAAGAAGTTAAAAAAATAAAAATAAAAAAAAATGGGCAAACGAAGGAAGCTGGACCTCTTACTGAAGTCTTGGAGAACTCTTCTGCACACACAGATCAGATCAGGGTCTGCCAGGATATAGCACTGAAGGCAGTGGACAGAAATCTCAATGATTTTTAGCAGCTGAAGAAACAGAAACTTGGCTGAAGCTGGACCAGAGGTTGACAAGATTCAGGTGGGGTTTTTTGAAGAAGAAAAATGGGAAATTCTTGATTCACTATGTTTCAACAGGAACTTTATCAGTACTTCAAGTTAACTCACGACTTTTAATATCTTGACATTACAGACTTAGGAGAATGCTGTAGAATATATATCAATAAAAAGCAATTATAACTCCCACGCACTGAGAAAGCTTACCTATAAAAACCCAAGGGTTGAGTTACTGAATCAGCCAGCAGAGATATGGATGTCAGTTTAATTAGTTAACAGAAATCATACATAGGTCACAAAGTTACAAAGTTTAAGCTCCAAAAAGAGCTCTAGGAAGACTGTGCACATTTAACAAAGTTTTTAACCACCACATTATCAGACTCACAAAATAAGTTGTTTCTGTTACTCTGTATGACAGAAGGAAAGGAATTTGTATTTCTGCAATTCACAAAAAAACAACACTAGCCTATAAGATGTGTATATATATGTGTATAAATTGCATTCTGCAGAACCAAACATAGGTGGAAGCATACAGTCATGTGGACACACATCTCAATTTATCACACTAGTGACAAGTTTCTGTTTTGTCCCAGACTCTTCTTTTTGATAATTTTCCAGTTATTTATTCTTTAAAATTTTCATCTTTTTAGAGCAGAAAGTAATCAAATCAGTGTCATTCTGAGCAGAAGTGATTCCACGCTTACTTGTTCTATTTGTATCCTGGGAATGCACATAAGGGGGGGTGATGGGTTAACAAGACAGAGATTCTGTGAAGTCAAAAACACCAATGTAAAACAAGAATTGTATATTCAACATACTCTTCCAGTCAAATCATGTGCTAATAACTTTTGTCATGAATACTTTTGTCATAAAAGACTGAATAACAACGTAATAGGAAGATATTTCATTGCAAGGGAAAATCAGTAATGACAGCGTACTATGTTTTCTATTTTGTATGTGTATTTTGTGATCCTAAAGTGGGAATCTTTCTACAATTTTCCTTACTGTCTTGCCTAAATACAAAGGTATTGTAGTCTGCCAATTTAGCTCCCAGAAGTTTTAATAGAGGCTGCGTGCACACATGCAAAGGTGCACATATCAAACAACCCCAAGTTATTGAAAGAGAATGACTAGGATCTACGTATCAAAATGGGACAAGATTCTCTACAATAGGATTTAGAAGTTTGTATTTGGTTTTACTCAAGTGGGCGCAACTGCTTTACTCCTGACAGAGTGACCAATTCATGACAAACAAAGCACTCCCATTTACATTATTCTGAGGAAACAAGAAACGACATTGTGGTGGGTTAACCTTAGCAAAGGGCCAAAGACCCACTCAACTGCTCACTCACTCTCCTTTCTCACTAGAATGGGGAGAAATACATTGAAAAAGCTCAGGGGTTGAGAGAAAGAAATGGAGATTGCTTACCATTCACTGCCACAGTCAGACTTGACTAGGGGAAAATTAATTTAAATTATTGTAATTAGAATATATTTGGATAGTAAGAACTAAAGAAAATATTTAACCAACATGGTTTACACTGCCCTGGTTCCCAGGCTCAACTTCGCTCCTGGCTCCTCAAACTTCCTGCTGAGCAGTGCAGATGGATGGATAACAGGAGCTTGCAGTCAATCCGTAACAGCTTCTCTTGGCCATTCTTTCCTCTTCACTCTTTCTGCCTGCTCCAGTGTGGGGCCTCTCCACAGGCGGGAGTTCTTCAGGACAAACCTGCTCCAGAGCAGGTCCTCTATGGGCCACAGTTCCTGTCAGAAGAACCTCTTCCAGCATAGACTCCTCTCCCATGGTGTGGTTTCTGTGAGTGAATATCCATCCGCTCTGGTGTGGGCTCCTCCACAAGCTATAGTGTGAAGATCTGCTCCATGCTGGTTCTCTCTATGGCCTGCAATGAAATA